ACGTGTGCTCTTCCGATCTCCCCAAAACCCCAAAACCCCATGAGTGCAAATTTAAACGGACTAATATGCAAATAGAAGTACTACTGAATTTTTAAGTTTAATACTTAGATATAAATTTGTTTTGTAAGTCCTCCTTATATATCCCAACATATTGTGATAAATGTCCTTGAGGAATCTTCAGATTCAACAATCGATGTCCTCATCCATTAAATTTTCAATATGCTTTTTGTATTTTTCGATCATATCAACTGGTATGATTCCCAGTCCCCCAAGTTTATCGAACATTTGGAATGAGTAGTCTTTGGCGTTTGGATAATCAATCAAAGTATCAATAAAGTTAGCTAATGAGACATGAACTCTATATAATAAATCATAAATGTGGAAATATAACTTACCCTTCTAAAATCTCTCTATCTGATAACATTGACTCTTACTTAAAAAGATAATCTATGACCAAACTAAAGACTTGATCCCAGCCTTGTTAATCCTATGAAAAGGCATTGTGCAAGATATAGCCCACGAAAATGAATGGTTAGATATTAGTTTCCTTGCAAATGTCTTAGAAACTAATCTTAGCGTGTACTCTATCTTGACTTTCCTTATACTCAGCAAAGTAATTAGCAATTTTACGTCTAATGTCTTGTGATGGCTTTTGATTTGTATATTTCTCAAAATTAAGACCAATCACATTTTGTTCATTCATAGATACTTTTCTATCCATAATTTTTCTGACGCTTTCATCATCTTCTGAATCTGATTACAATTAAAGCAGATTTTCATGACTTCCACCCTCTGGTTTAAGATCTCTCAGTAAAGCTGTCAAAGTGTTTTTCTTTGTACTGCTTTAAACTTGCTTCTTGGTGGCAGGGGAAGCATTAGATTTCTTAGAACTACCTAGATCTGATACACTTTTTTAAGAAGTGGTATCGTTATTTTTGGATTTTTAGATATACATATATCCAGCACCACTTGAGCTACTTTCAGTTCCTTTTCTTTCTCTTTTACCTGATTTCTAGCCTTTCTTAATTGATTCTTCAGGCAAAATATGATCTTTAGGAACATATTTGTATTAGAAACCTTCACTGTCTATCATCAATCTCTCTTAATAAATAACTTCCTTCCATGAACCTGGTTATGAGTAAGTATCCATAAGATCCTAGATTTTGAATCTGATTCTAGAAGACAAATGCTCACTCATTCTGTGAGAAAATAGTCTTTATAGAGTCCCCTCAATGTATTCAAGATTAATCTAATAAGTCTTGCTAGGCTTACGCTTTTATGATTTTTTGTCTCCTGATGAACTATGATTATTCATAGCTTTTTCTTATTCTTTTTCCAAGACCGCTCTTTTTACCACAAAAGAAGATAATTTATGAAGCATTTGGCATAGGATTTCAACACTCTAGTCAGTTTGAATATCTTCCAACAAGGATTATATACAGGTGAGAATAATAACTTCAGGTATTTAGTTGTGCAAGTATAATTCTACTATAAGTTGCATGTTTCCAAACAATTGCAATCTCTATCTGTGTTTAATTTCACCTTCGTCAAATACGTATAGCATTTGCTTGTTAAAATCTGATTCATTTTATGCCAACTATTGATTAGTAGTTGAGTTGTTAGAACTTTAATTTTCTTCAAGCTATAAACTGGCTTTTCTACTTCTTCTTTCTTTCTCTTCTTTCTCGTGCATCTTGTAGAATTATTTCTGGCATTTCATGAGAAGCAGCTTTTTGAAGTTCATTTCTTTGTTTTCTTTGTCATTGTACTTCTTGAAAAGTTAAATACAAAGTCTCACGTAGACCTCAAGGTATGCGATCTCAGTAGTTGCTTTCATGAAAATGATTTTCATCAATTCATTTAACAGTGATGGTGTGATGGCAAAATCATTGAGAATCTTTTTGGACACAGTTTCAAAGTTATCAGTTGATAGCTTATTGAGCATAATTCTTAATTCTCTGACAGTATAGTTGAATTTATCACTCTCGCTCATTTCTCCTCCTTTCTTTAGATTTCTTCTCTTTTTATGCGGGAAATCTAGAAGTGCCATATTACTTGGTCTATCTTTGAATTGACTTCTCAAGGAAAGTACAAAGTCGATTGAATAAATCTTCTTTTTGGTTTCATCTTTGAGATTGGCCTGTTTCTTCTTTTGTAAGGTCGAATTTACCGAGGATTTTGATGCAAAAGGATTAACGTAACCATTCAATGCATCTGATGAATTGTTTACTCCTTAGTTCATGACCTAATGTATGTTTTTGAGAAATAAGTAATTACATTAAGGTTATCTTATGGATTTTGTGTAGGAATATTGTAATCTATCTATGTGGTATTGCTTAAACCTGTAGTATTGCTATTTTAGACTGTAATGGTCTTTTTTGGTTTGAAGACAGGAGCATTGAGATTAAATTACGGTGTGGCAGTGTTGTTTGCCTGAGCGTTTTGTTCATCGTTTTTGGGATTTACAACAGCTTTTAGGAAAGTAGGTACGAATGACTCCGCAAAAGGATTAAGATTAGGCTTTGAATCTGATACTCTGGCGGGGTTATTAATGTCAGTCATTGCTAAGACTTACAATTAAATAATAACTATTTAGATTAAATACACAATTACTGCCTTTTAACCCTCCCAAATATGCCATGCAACTATACAAAATCATACTACGGGGTTTTGGGGTTTTGGGGTTTTGGGG